AAATACCCTGAGTACTTCGGGGCGTGCTCCCGTGCCTGCCAGCCACTTTAACATTAACAAGGTCAGGACGGCAGGAGGGCTCTAGGAGAATGGTCAGCACCAGCACAGGCCAGCTAGGAGCTTGCATTTGGGAAAGACATGGGGGATCGGAGAGGGGAGGACACCGGATATTGATCTGGGAGCAGAGAAAGCCAAAGATGCCGCCCGAAACCCACTGAGGGAAGCTCTCCCGGTTGGACGACATGAGCAAGGGAACAGTGTCTGGTGCGGGAGTCTGCCGTGTGTAAGAGGCAGCACCTGAAGTGCACGTCGTGCTGGACAATATGGGGAAAGGGAGACAGCTCTCCTCCTACAGGACTGAGTCAAGAGATTAGTGCAGGCTGAGCCCGCACTCGATTCAGAAGAGCTCAGTGCGTCGAGGGCTTTTCTGGTGCTGGGCACTGTTGAAAATCAGGTGCGAAACAGGCCCAACGTTGGTGGCTACAGCTTCCACTTTCTTTCCAGCGTTCCCTCTCAACGCTGGCCCCAGTTCTGTTGGGTAGAGACGAGAGCCCCCCGCTTTGTCCTGCAATACGTATTGCGAGTGCAACCAGCGCCTCCTGGTGGCAGAGGTGCAACACGGCGCACACCCAAAGAGAATCCAGAAAGTCAGTTAATTTTTTATTAAATATACTCCTCTCTTGGCACAAATTTTAAAATATATATATATATAAAACATTATATAACAGTGTCTTCACTGCATTAAAATAGAACTCCAGACCCAAGGAAAGCAGTCAAGTTTGACACATTAATGGATGAGAAAAATCTTTACAAAAGGCATTTGTGCTCTGCGCATAGACAGGCAACAAGAGTGCCTGCATAACACTGCATGAAAGAGTCCAGGGCGGGTAAGAGGAACCAGACATTGCAATGAAAAAGCCTTTTCCATTTTGGCTCTGAGCCACGGACTGAGCCCAAAACATACCACATTAGCCCTACGATCAGAGTTAACTACATTCAGGTATTTACTGTTTTCGAGGCAACTTTTACTGATCTCCAATGTTTCGCTTCCCCTTTGCCACCAATGCTGTACCCACCGATGCTGGAGGCCACAGACTTCTCAGATTGGTGCTACCCTGCAAAGTCCATTTATCACACACTTCTTGTTAAAAAAAGTTTCTTCTGAAATGCACTGACTGCTTCTGTGTTAAAGCAACCACAGTGCAAGACCTGTAATACTTAAGCACTGCCAGGCCAATGGCTGTCAGGTGAAGTTCCAGACGTACCATCATTTCCTCAGACCAGCTGCTGGACTGGGCTTCTAAAAATGACCATAAAGTATCAATGGATATTCCCACTCCACTGCCTGCTTTGCAGGGACTGTCACCCCCATGACTTCCACTGATGGTGAACTCTCACAGGTGCCAAGGCTTCTCAGCATTCCCCTTTCCCCACCAGAGTCCTCTGCACGCACAGATCTGCCTTCCACCTTGGTTGCTGCTGGCCTGTCTTCCCACCCAGGCTGTATTGGCACTCTCAGGTCCTGCAGCCATGTGTTTCCAGAGAACCAGGAGAAGACTGCTTGGGGCAGGTCTCTGGGGATCAGGGAGGACTCCCAGCAGCAGCAGCAAATGGGTAAGTTCTGCCTTGACCCACTGCTGGAAAGCCTCCCCAGCTTCCCACACTAGTGCCCCTTACCTGGCCCTCAGGACTCCTCCCCAGTGTTCTCCACCCAGGCAACCACCAGTTCACACAGCCAAAGAGCTAGGCCAGGCACTGGGAGCAGCTGCCATTTCACATCCAGCGGAGAAGGGATCACACTGGACAAACGATACTCAAGGACTTTCCAAAGGAACACACATCCCTGGTATCGAATCCTCATTTGAAATGAAACCTCTCACCACTGCATTCGACAAGGAGGGTTCCGATGCCGGACTGTTCTGGGAACCAACATCAAACCTGCACTTGTGCCAGTTTAGATATTCTCCATCAGACCTGCCTGCCCCAAACAGCCAGGGGTGGACCCAAGGCGCTCAATTATGGTAGAGGGGAGCTGAAGAGAAGGAAATGCAAATGAACAGTGTTTGACTGCTAATTATTCTAGTTTTAAAGAGAGTCACACAATTTGGGGTCAGATGGTCAACAATTCCAGAGAAACGGGAGGGGAGAGAGAAGAGATTTACATGGGGCTTGCCTCCTTTCTGTGGGATACAGAACAGACTCCTGGGAGATTCCTGGACCAAAACGAAGGTCATTAGTCCATTACACACAGTGGCACTGCCCCCTCCTACCCAGCACACTAGAGAAGCTTCAGGGTCCCGCATTTCAGGATAGCAGATTTGGAACAAGTTTTAATTCATGCAAGAAAATAGAAGAATTAAGCGCTTTGGGTTCCCCCCTTGTACATCCAAACAGGGGGAAAACCAGCTATTTAAAACGTACACAACACACACAGTTATTTTAAGAACCCTATTGTTCAAGAAACCAAAGACCACTGCTAACATGGTTAGACTGAAATCAGGTCTGCTGCTGGACTAAACAGTCAGGAAAATCGGGGGAAAAAGGTTTGGCTAAAAGAGGTTTTTAAATTAGCTGCAGAGCCAACAACAAAACCCCACCTCTTCACCCCTCTGGGTCCAGCGCTTCGACACTGGCACTGCCCTCGAGTCTCCTTCTCGCCTCGGAGGTTTTAGTACAGACACCCCAGGCTTCTGGACAGACAAATCTCACCACCCTGCACTGTTCTCACTCCTATCCTAGTGGGCACCCCCAGGAGCTATGTGGCTGAAGGCTGCAGCCCATCAGGACTTCTGGGTTCCAGTCTCTCTTCAGACCAGTGCTCACATTTAATACAATGGGTTGTGGGGGGAGAAGATGTCTCAGGGAAGATGTCTCAGAAGGACTCTGTTCCATTTCTGAGTCTGGGGCTTTCCCCGTGGGCGCATCCCCTTGGGGTTCGTTTCACACTTGCAGCTGGGAAGGACTGGCACACCTGGCACAATCCCCAATGGGCGACAATTATGTTACTCTTGGCAAACTGGGTCTATTTTCTACGAGCCAAGTTGGTCCAGCACAATTCTAAGAATAAGCTACTGGAATCAAAAGTTAATCAGCTGAGGTGACATGACCGCCAGAGCGTGTGCGCACCAAGGGTGTTCCAAAGCAGGGCCAGCAGCCTGAACCCACTCAAAACTGCCACCTTGAAAGGTTATTCATAGGTGTGCCCCCGCAGAGTTTATTCTCACATTGCAGTTTAAGCAGCAACCACAATAATTAAAGACATCATTGGTTAAACTGTGAGTATGTAACACTCCCCACTCTTAATACTGCAAGCTGATAAATCCTTCCGAAAATGCTGCTTTTAAAAATACAGCAACTCCGGATAGAGAGGTTTTTAAAGTAGCCTGAAAGCACCACTATTTCAAGTGAATCCAGTTTACGACCCCAGGCACAGGAATTCCAGATTGAAAGCTGATCTCCTAACTCTCCATCTTTGCTGATTTTAGAGAGGGGCATTGCTCAGGTGGGATGTTTTGTTGAACACAAAGTAAAACCAGAACGAGTGCTATCTGAAGGGAGGAACACTTCCACACTTCCTGCCCGAGCTCACCTCCGAATTTTGGAGTTAAAAAATTGTTTTGAAATAAAAACTTAAATCCTGGATGTTCCATTTCAAAGACTATTAACCCTCTCCACTCACATGTGCAGTTCATTGCAGACTCACGCTGAAACACTGCTTGCCAGGGTGTAGTCATTAAGAATTGCCTAGCAGGAACCCCTTTCACCTCCCGGATTTCCAGCTCCATCCAGGCAGCATGGCAGCCCCTCTTCTATAATCCACACCACCTCATCAGCCCAGGAGAGAAGCCAGCAATAGCTTAGTGTGTATAAAAGAGTTAAACACAAGGAGGCAGCAGCTACTTAGAGAAGGCAGCTCCGCTGTCACCGAGACGCTGGGGGACGCTTCACCCATTTTAGTGAAGGTTACTTACATGTCTGGGCTTGGCAATAACTCGGAGGCTTGTTAAAAAAAATAGAAAAAAAAAGAACAGAAAGTAAAATCTCAGCAGTGGGGGGGTAGCACTAACAGAATGGGCCAATGCTAGTGTTTGCTAGACACACACTTACACTGTACTCCCCTGTTATACTGGGGAATGACGCCACTACCTTTCAATATTAGTGCCGAGCTGTAATTTACGGAGAAGGATCTGGGTAAGGTCAAAGGTTGTGAAACTTATTCCCACTGCGATTGGACCTTTGACCCAGTTCATGCTGAGTCCTTTGTACAAGCCTCGGATTAGTCCTTCTTCTCTTATAATCTCTCGCATGGTGGGCAGGATGGAACCATACACATGTCCCGTGACCCCAGCCGTCTGCATTCGCCGACGCACCACGTCCAGAGGGTAGGAGGCCGACTGGCCAATCAAGCCTGCGCAGGCACCAAACGCGAGACGTTCCAGGGGGTACGGCTGGGCTCTCCCACTGTGATCTGGGAAAGAGAGAGGAAGAGGCAGCGTATAAATAGCTTCCTGGAGTAACTGCATGACTACAAAGTTACATGGTCTAATGGCCAATACAGCAGAGAGGGTGTCAGAATCCTGGATTCTTTTCCACTAGCTGACTCAGTGTGTCCCTACACAAGCCCTTGAGTGTCAGTTTATTCAGCTATAAAATGGGGATGATGTACCACGTCCTGCTGCTTCCCAGTCCGATAGAGGTGAGGAGAGAGGAGACATCCTTCAGTGCAGAACAGGGGAGGCAACTTTAAGCCCTTTATGACCAAGTGCTAAAGCTCCAAGACGCTGCCAGCCTGAGCTCCCGTCACCAGGATGTCAGCATCCCGACGCAAAGCGCGCTTTACCTGCATGCAGTTTCTTCAGCGACTCGTAGGTGAAGAAGCTAAGTCCGGCGTACGGGATCACCCCAAGGATAGTGGGCGCAAAGCCCCTGTACAAGGTCTTCAGCCCCTCCTCCCGAGAGATTCGGATGAAGACGTGGAGGATATTGCTGTACCTGTCGAAACACAGACCCCCAGACATTACTGCCTGCGCAGGAAGGCCATTGGTAATGCTGCCAACCTGCCTTGCTGGGGGACCTACAGTTAACCTGCTTGCTCGGCTGGAGAAGTCCAACGTTCAGTTCCGAACGTATGACGGAGGAGCTCAGAAGGGACTTGCTTAAGAGCCAGCTCTTTCCAATGGCTTTATTGTGGTCATTTGTTCGTGACCTGTTGACCTAGCAGAGGTCGTCAGGTTGGGCCTCTCCTGAAGGAGGCCAGTTTGACACTACTCTTTGGACCAAGCCAGCACACAAGGGACCTCTCACTTGTGAGCTGATCACTATTTGAATATTACCCTTGTGGGGAAGTCTCGGACCTGTGTCACACAGGAGGCCTTGGAATCTATTAATCTCCTTCTGGAGAAGAAAGGCCACTGGACCAACGGCAGCCCCCAGGTCACTTGCATACATCAGACTTGCCGATTCCCAAGGCTGTCACACCAAACCCAGAGTTACACCAAAAGCTTAGAGCAAGGCTTGAGCTTCAAAACCATCCACCTCCATCCCGGGCGCTTACACCCATTCCCATTAGCCACTTACATCTCCTTCGGCGTGACAGCCATTCGGGCTCGCACCAGGTCCAAGGGGTAGGTTAACATGGCAGCTGTTGTACCTGCCAGCGAACCAGCGATGAATCTGGGTAAAGGAGTCAATGTTCTAACAACGAGAGGGAGACACAACCAAACAGATCACATCTGCACAGAATAAGGATGGTAATTTTTCTTAGGCTTCCTCCCACCACTATCCTGAGCTGGCTTCCGGCAGCTAGTTATACTCGGGGGCGGGGGTGGTGCTGCTGACAGGCTGGGGGCTGCAGCAAGCCTGATTCGGGTCTTTCAGACACCATCTTCCTCCCGCACAGAGAAGGGAGCAAGCAGCCATGCACTAAAGCGCAGGGGGTTTGGTTTTCAGCGCTCTGGGGAGACTGCGTCCCGTTGCTTCTCTTGGCAGCGGAAAGACACTTCGTACTGCCCACCTGGCGGCACCGAGTGCTAACCCCCAATGCTCTCTGAGCCGCTCCTTGCTCACCCCTCTAGAAGGCAGGATCTTATCAGCCAGAGGGAATCTGTCTGGGACACAATCCAGACTCTAGGCAGCAGGGACACCCCACACTGCTTAGCTCCTGCCCCACGGCGCTCTAAGGCTCTCCACCAGGACAGCAATCAACTGAGCAGCGACACTCTCTGCTGATCAGCAATAGGTTCCCACAGCCTAGAGGCACCCATCACCTACATAACAATCCTAATTCCCACAGGCCTTCAGTCCACACAACTCCTCCCACCTCAACAGTCAGACTCTGCTCCTAGGACAAGACTCAACACGGGCAGCATCTTACTTTCCATGAAAGCCGTAGTAGCTTCCCAGGAGTTGCTTGTACTCTTCGTGCGCACAGAACTGGATGGCAGCGTAAGGGATCACCCGGACCATCGTGGCCGAGTTCCCGCGCCACAGGCTCAAGAAGCCGTCATTGAGGTAGGTGCGGTAGATCAGCCTATAGGCTTCCTGCATGCAACAGAAAACGAGAACGGGGTCGAAGGTGAGAGGAGGACACGCTTTCCACTCGACACCTAGGATGGAGCCAGAACGTCTTCAGCAGGAGGAAGCAAGTCCCAGCAAGATGGCTTCCCTTGGCCTCCAACCACAACGAGGTGGGAAGACCGTCGTTATTTACATTCACTCCTTTGGGCTGTGCCCTGGATACACAGAACTAGAGCATCAATGTCTCTCGGATAGGGAAAAAGAGTCTTTTAAAAGAGAATCGGACACAAGCAAAGCTGGGAAGAGTCAAAGGGCTCAGAGCCGTTTAAAGACGACATGCCTTTTAGTTTCCTCTTCCAGTGCTGGAGCGATGCCTGCACAGACCACTTTTCAACCCAAATCAATAGACTCGTTACAACGCAGAAGGTTTGGGGGATTATAAATATTAGCAAAGACTATTTGTAGCATCAACCTAGCACATACATCATAAAGCACTCTACAAACCACAGGGAGGGGTGCCCGCCCAAACTCAACTGTGCAATCATCTTTTAACCAGCAGTGGAATTGTTTGAGTGAGAACATTGGGTGGGGGAAATACACAATATCGCATTGTGCCCAGCAAGATGGAGCCCAGGGTGCCACCGGATGAAGAATTGATTATCTGTAGTGCAGTAGCACCTCTAGGCCCAGAACAAGGATAACGCTGGCACTTGGCTCGGTGCTGTACACAGGTATGATGAAGACAGTGCTCCTTGGGGCAAGGTTATCAGTTACACGGTTACAAATCTCTTCCTCTCTGCTAGCTCGCTATAAACACTGCTAATAAAATTCAAGCCAGACAGTTAAATACAACAGAGAGCACTTTTATTACTATTACTGCCATTAATCAAACCCTTTAGGTCAACAGGAGACAGATATCACCTCACCTTGGCAGAAAATCTTTTTGCAGACACTAAAAAAAAGAAAAAAGAGAAGAACATTAGTGTGAGGACTTGCTGCACATTTAACTAGACAGAGTCCGAGGGCCATGCAATTTAGTGAGTCAAAACTATGGGGATGAACCTGGCACCACAGTAGCTGCAAGCTGTTATCAAGCCGTTTTTATTTCTTAAAAGTCATGAGTTGCATAAAGGAGCAACATAGTGAAAACTTGTTTGCATGTGACTGTTGCATGGCCTTGAAAGGATTACAAATCTGTCAGGAACTGGAAAGCAACTGCTGAAGGTGCCGGATTGCTAAAGAAACAAGTTTTTGTTGTTTGTCTTGTTGTAGTCAGTTTCATACCTGCAATAGGAGTGTTATTGGAACGGAGCATTTAAACATCCTGGAATTTCATCTCCAAATACCTTGCATGTCACACAGTTAAAGGAATGTGGCCAAAACTTTGAACAGATGCAAGAAAAGAAATTACGCCCAGTCTTGCAATGAGCTCCAGGCAGGGGTCCTCCCTCCTGCATGCAGTCCCGTTGAAGTCCTGCCCTGTGAAGGATGGTGGCCTCCATTTGTAACTTGTGCGTGGAAGGGATCGGTTAAAATATGCTCGACTCTTAACCGGAGAGATCGGCTTATGTGCCACAGGATCTGTGAGCAGCCATACAGTAACTAGCAGGCGCTGTATGCTTGCTGAGGAAGAAACCTTCATCGGCTGAGGCCTATCTGGAAACTTGAAACTGTTTACTGCAAATGTCCACTGCAGTGGAACCAGCATTTCTGCCCTCCCAACAGCAGGCTGCCACACAAGGTAACTTTTGTAGCCTAGATGGCCCAAGGCTGCTTTCCTATCCAGGCAGCTGGAAGCAACTGCCAGCTAAAACCCCCAGACAGTGAGAGATAAGAAAACTCTGCCGGATACCAAGAGATTAGCCAGAAGTGGTAGTTTCTAATCATATTATTTGCCTCCTCTGCAGAGAGTTTAACTGGACAGAGTACTTGGCTTTCTATAAAACATAGGCCTGGACAAGTTAATGTTGATTTGTACAGATAGCTGCTAACTCACCCCTATTCTCCAGTTCCCATTACACCCTTCAGCTCTAAATTTGGATCTCTTATTGAAAGTCTTAAACAGGTGAAGTGAAGGGCTCATTCCGGTGAGGTAGACCGTGCAGGCAGGCGCTAAACTACACACAACCGTGCCAGTGCACCTCTATCCCAATCTAGAGTCACCCTGGGTATCCTAGTTCTCAGCTCTCTCCCCCACCCACCCACATTAGCTCTGCTGACGCACTTCAGTCCTGTCCTGCAGCCCCCTGCTATTCCAGATAGGGGCCTCTGCTAAGCAGATATTGATGATCAAGTCAAATCGCCTCAAAATGAATCACATCTAAGGATTAGATTAAATCTAAAACTCATTTAATCTGAGACGCAAACCAGATTTAAATCCTTGGCCTCTCTAAAAGTCTACTGCGCACCCACCCACCCTTGTAATATTTAATATTCCTGGGTAGTTCTTGCACTGAAACAGGGATTTATCAGCCCATAGCTGCAATCTGACAGATGATAAAAATGCTCCCAGTTCTGATCAAATGCATGAGGATTTTCTAGTCAAAGCAGCTGAACTTGGGTTTTCAGTTATGCACATTTAGCATATGGGATGTGAAAGGAATTTGTAGTATAAAGGCAGACATTTTGGACTCTACTTCATTGACTCTTGAAGCACACTGTACAATTGATTTAACTTGCAGCCACAATAATTTTAGATCAAGTTAATTTATCAGTACAAATAAATAACGTAAGTTTGAGTAAACACGTTCTACTTACCCATCCTTTAACAGGAAACCCCAGGTGTCTATTTACTGCCTTCTAATTGTCACCATGTCCCCATTCCCTCCTTCCCCTATTCCCTGAGGTTAAGAAGCCCAATAGCATCTTTGTACTTTTCAATGTATGTCTCCAACCTGAACAGTCTCATGAAGCCCAGACATGGAAACCCAAACCACTGCGCCAAGCCTTCAAAATGGCATGACACCCCCCTTCAGTTTTAACTGCAACGCCTTACAATGCATGGTTGCTATACGTTTCCAGGCCCTCCCTCGCCCACAGACGATAAGGGCCTGCCAGACCCACACTCACAAGCTGCGCTCATCTTCCACTGAGAACAGTGGGCTCAGTCCTACACCATGGAAGTAAATGGGAAAATCCTACGACAACAGGAGTAGGATCCAGACATATGGGCTTAATCCTAAGTGAGATTTGGGCTGATTGTCACCTCTCGGGATCAGGACTTGTATCCCAAGCAGAAAACAAAGGTCCCGTGCTCCTGTCAAAGCCGTGCAGGGTTTTCTGCCGGTTTAGGAAGAGCTAAACGTCAGAGCACAGATCAGCTGCACTGCTGGCAGGGGAGAACAGGCACTCTGTTCTTTTAGAAGCTGGCTGCTTTCTCAAGGGCTCACAGCATTCACCTTGAAATATGATTTTTGTCCTATCCAGCGGGGCCACTGCTGTTTTTGCAACAGCACCAGCCAATGCACCAGACATCAGGGAGTGGATCACTTTCCTTTTCTCCGGGCTCCCCTAGGAAAAAAACCAAAACAGAAACAGACCGTGTTACATTGCTCAATGAAGGGACAGAGTTAGGTGACTGGGATGCAAACCAACTTTCCTGTGCACAGCGTCTGAGCATGTGCCTGCACCGCAGAGGTCTGGGCACTGAGATACGGGAACCAGAGTTAGCCACACTGGGTGCGACTGTCCCTGCTGCTAAGCAACACTCGAGTCGTACCTGTATAGCTGCATCCCTGCTGGCGCTGCACTAACCCCGGTTAGCCCCAGAAATCCTAAAACTGTCTCAGGGTTCCTAGTGCTGCACTAAGCTGCTCTATGAATTGTTTCTTAGTGCATTATGGGAGAATTTGTCTGTCCTTCCTAACCCCCGGAGGGCTATGGGCACCCAGCTTCTGGAACACAGGTTACAATCTGCACCCACCCTGCAAAACAGATGGGTTAGAGCCTGTGTTAAAGTGAAGTCCTGGCTCTAATCTATACACCACCAAGTAAGGAAGCCTGGATTCAAAGCACATATAAACCCAGGTAAAACTGCGTGCGAGTGAACGGTTTATGGCTAAAAGCCAGGCACAGTGGGGACATTCGTACAGCTGTCCCAGGGCTCTTGGGAGTACATTTACTTAACTAGTATTTCAACATGTGGGAAAAAGCAACTGGCAGTTCTGTGCTGCTCAGTGTCTTTAGTAACGCCTTTTATTCACAGAGACCTGGACAAAAGGAAACCAACGTCAGGGCTTCAGAAACTCAAATACAACCCGCAAAATGCCAGTTATGCTAAAGCAGAAATTCAGCTGGACTCTGAAGAATAAAGATTAAAACTAGCTAGCAGGGTACAAAGTCCCCAAGTCATGCCCATAAGCATCCCCTCCCTGCTAAGATTACAGTGAAAAGCACTGCCCCTTCCTGATTTAAGCTAAGTCCTGAAAGCAAGTTGCTTGTTTTATTTTCAACCTGCACTTTCCGGGACACCACAGCGTTATTCCAAACTGGCCCCAACATCATAGACGCGAACGGCAAGACAAGTTTCTCCTGCAAGATCACTGCAAAGGAAATAGCTTGGTTTCTTATATGCCTGTCATGGTTCAGATTTAGAGTGCAGTTTGCTTCCCATAATACAGGCGCAGAAAGCAAGTGAAAGTGTTAAACATTGAAGGCAACGAACTGTCAGGAAAGCAGAGAGATTAGTCTTGCCCATGTTAGCTTCTAAAGACACGTTTATGTTTGCATGGCATGTCTTGTATGGGAAGCGCTCTTTTTTCTCAGAAGTATTTGCCCAATTTTGACTGTTCTCCTTGGTAATGTTGACTCTGTTCCCTCCAACCAAAGATCTTTAAAAAGCTACGTGATCAAAAATACTGCTCAATTGTAGTCAGCGTCTGACCTCTGCCTGCCTGACCCTAGACACAGGCAAAAGTGGGGCTCAACTTCTGCCCAAGTTCTGGACAAATAAATTAAGGGGAAAACAAGCCGTGATTACTTCTCTATGCGAGTCCTGTATCGGCCACACGCAGCCCTTGGTAACGTTTGCGGAGTTCTTTACAACAGTCTGCCAGGAGACTTCTGCACGGGGTCAGCCCAGTATCAAAGGCAGCAGCACATACTGACGTAGGTAGGATGCCCAGGTGCTGCCTCAGCGCCCAGAGGGCTGGGAGCAGACAGTGCCCCCCTCTGGCTCCCTCCCCCCTCCTCCCCCCACAGCAATCTTAAACGGACTCCAGACTGAGCTACATCCCAGCCAAGGCAGGAGAAAGGGTAAACCAGCCCAACACAGAGCCTTTGGCAGGGACGAGGAACAGAGTGAGCAGCCGGAAAAAAAACCATTCCCAACCCCATTTAAACAGTTCAGCACAGTGCCACGTTGTATGGAAGAATCTCCGGAGAATTCAGGAAGCGTTTCCAACCTTAGCCTGCTAGAGTCCCAGACAAGTAGGAGTTGGAGTTGGCAAAACTGGGTGGCTTGTTCTAAGTGATGCTGTGGAGTCTCACGAATTCCGACCTATACAGGGACTAACCCAGGAAGGTTGGGAGCAGGCAGATGCTCCCTGCACTGGCTCATTCTCAGAGAGTCACTTTTGTTCCTTAGAACTGCATTTAAAAAAATCTGCTACACTTGCTTCCCAATCATTGTCCTGATGCCAGCCAGGGACAAACTCATACTTACCAGAGTTTGCTCCTCTCTTCCCCAGATTATAATAAAGGAAAGACAGGTTCTTGTGAGTTTCACTTTGCCCCTTAGGTACACCAGGCTCAACAGAACACTACATTTGTAAAAAGGACATTGGGGACAGATGGTTTGACCTTCACATGGAATTTAAAATCCACTGATTCCATTTATATTATTTCCTATTCAATAATTTAAATCCTTTTCCTATTTTTACAACAGCAGCTTCATAACTACTGATACAACACAGCAAACACGCTGACCTAAGGCAGACAGAGGAGATGCTGGTTATTAGAGCAAAGGCAGGAAATCAAGACTTGTGGCTTCTATTCCCAGCTCTGCTACCAAATACACAACCTTGGACAAGGAACAAGTTCTACGTGACTCAGTGGGATACCCATCTACCTCCCAACGGATGGGCAGGAGACTGGACACATTTAATTGATGTTTGTAAAGTGCTTTGAAATCTTCAATGAAAGCCACTGTTGTACGGCATAATACGTGTAAGCACTGCAGCTGCTTCAGGGCTCCCCAAGTCAGATGCTGTTTGCTTTTCCTTTTTGGAGGAGCAGCCAAACCAAATCTCCCCTCCTCCCCCTGCGAATCCATCACACCCACACCCCTCCCCGCTCTTACCTCAGATAGAACATGGCCGGGTACAATTGGCTCCACGCCATTCTGTTTTAAATCCACTCGACCTTCCTTCACACCATTACCCATACCAGTCGTGCTTCCTAGGCAGAAGAGTTGTGGCTCCTAAATTTTAATACCAAACACACCAAAGCAGTGGTTAAGTGAGAGTAGAAATGAACATTTGGGTATTGTTACCAGTTTACACTGGAGTACACAACATGATCTGCAGTAGAGGCCACCTCCAACTGTCAAACCCGTCTTCAACCACCACTTTAAAAGTACCCCAAAAGGTTTCCAAACCAGCCAGCTTCTGCTTAGCAGCCGATTTCTAATGTTCCCTTCAGCGTGTGATTTCCTTGTAGTTAAATACTGGGCTGTTAGAACTCGGATTCCCCTGTAAGACTAGAAAATATGAATTTCACTTTTGGAATCTGATTGATTCTTTCCTGGGCCTTCACTGATGTGTTTTGGACCTTCAGGGACCTTTAATCTTTGGAGCCATTGACAGTGTAACAGATCCATGCTCCAAGAGCATCTATTTGACTTCAGTGGAAATACATAATAATTCCATCTTTATTCCTTAATATTTTAATAGGAGGGAAACAAAATACTAGTCGTTATGCTTGCTAATGTTACAGATTAAGACTACAACTGGTACTGAAGGTTTGAAAGGACAAATTCCCAGAAGAGGCACCACAGCATTTCAACTGTTCTAAGAACCAAAAGAGAGGGAAAAAAACAAGTTCAAAAGGAGATTTCTAGATTCATTCCCTGTATTTATTTTTGTCTTTGGTGCCATCTGGCATGTGTGTCATTGACATCCTCCTGTTAATTGTGTCTGTTCTACTTCTTCCCACAAAGGATTTCAGTAGTAAATTGTATTACTCTTGCTAGGGAGTCTTTAAAATAGTCTATTGCATCTCTCCTCTAGAATGTATTTCTGCTATGGCCACTTCTAACATCCCAGCTCTCGAGGACGAGATCAAAACATACATGGATTTCCAGGAGCTAAGAATCAGATACTAGACTGTTTTATTCTATCGTCTGCTGTGAAGCATCCAAGTTGCCAATCAGCCTGAGATTCTAGAGCACATTGGACAAGGCGCATTGAAATGTAAGACCGATGTGTGGAAAATGGAAACAAAATGGTCACAGCAATACCTTCAGGAAGTCTGGCCTGAGCAGCCGGGTGCTATTTTAGGAAAGGGATAGATCCAATGCATCATATCTGCCATAGAGACTATTCGGACAATGCCAATGATTGAAGTGCATAAATATAAATACATAAATGTCTCCAGAATTTCGTTTATTCACACTAGTTTCAAGCCTGTGTGCATGGCAGCTCGTTTAACACAGAAGGTTTTTCTCACTTTGATATATGCTCTCCAACTGTCTCATGAAGGGAAGGGTCGCCCAAACCTTTGCGACAGAAGCACAGTGATACCGCAGATAAAGACCTGAAATATGAAACAAAATCGTCATTTCAATTCCTAACCTTCGATCAGCATCGCAGCTCTTATACTCTGAGTTTTATATTTTCTCCACAATGAAAGATTCAAGGTTACATTTAAAAATTCTAAGCAAGCAGCTTTTATCTGAGCCAGCAAGTTACACTAGACCTCTTCACGAGTGGGTCAGAGCTTTCCTAGGGGCACGACTGCTCCAACATGAGGAGACCTCAAGTTGTCCCATTTTGTTAGTCTCCATTGAAGAGGGATCCCAGTCCCAGCTCTGCCACGCTCACTGTGCCCCCTTAGGCAAATCATTTCACCTTTGCCCTTGTTCTATACACGGGGAAGGGGAAGCACACCAGCTGGCCCATTGGAGAGAGTGTTGCGAGGCTCTCTCAATTAGACCTAAATGTTCTTTGCTTGTTTGGTGCCTTTCATAAATTCTTATTGTGCTATTTTATCACATCATGGCCATAAAACACTTCCAAAAATCCCTTGGTCACTGCAGCAACACTAATGTAAAGTGAGACACAGAGGAGCTTGGTCTGTAATCATGCATGACCGATGTGTTCGTCAGGAAGCTATGCATGACCCATGCGCTCACTTCTCGGGAAGAAACAACCCTGAGTATCTTCAGCACCAGACGCTCCCTGTTTGATAGAGCTCTGGGAAGGATGTTTACAACTCCTTAGAGCTCCTCTTTTAAAATGAAAGTTCTCAAGAGGGGGGAGGGATAGCTCAGTGGTTTGAGCATTGACCTGCTTAAACCCAGGGTTGTGAGTTCAATCCTTGAGGGGGCCATTTAGGGAACTGGGTAAAAAGTCTGTCTGGGGATTGGTCCTGCTTTGAGCAGGGGGTTGGACTAGATACCTCCTGAGATCCCTTCCAACCCTGATAGTCTAAGATGCTGCCCAGAGGGTAAGGAGTAAAAATTTTAATGAAAAAGATACTTAGTAGTCCAAAGCATGATGCGAACAACAAGCAACAGGAATATTTGCATTGCAGAGGTTCTATAAAAGACACAGTCACATCACATGACGCAGATGGATATTTTCATGGGGATAAAGACCACGGTGCCAGTCACATGCTGTAACGAAGCAACTAGAAGGGAGGACTTTATTCAACTAGTGTTGCTTGATTTCCCACGTGCCTGGTGTCTAGTTATTGGTTGCCCTGCTCCCTGTTTCCCAAAAGAAATCATAAAAGAGTGAAAACCACGGGCAAAGACAGTGTCTTTCATGAGCTCAGCTAAGGTAACTAATAAAAACAAAAGAATGGCCAGACTGGGTCAGACCAAAGGTCCATCCAGCCTAGTATCCGGTCTGCCGACAGCGGCCAATGGCAGGTGCCCCAGAGGGGTGAACCTAGCCAGTAATGATCAAGTGATCTCTCTCCTAGGAAGGAGAGCGCCAAAGAAGCACAGGCCAAAATACCGATCCCAGGTCCACTGAGGATAAAGACTTGTCAATGAAACTCATGCTGAAGGGTCCATAATTTGCTTTAAAACCAGGTTCTAGACAAAGATGACGAGAAGGGATGTAACCCAGAGGTTTTTTAAGCACTGGTACACAAAGGATTCCAGTAGCCTGGGTGCGTACATCTGTAATTACGGCGTTAGAGCCCTGTAACCCGACTACAAGTGTTAAGTCTGGGATCTGGTGAACTGGGAAAACACACAGACCCTCTCAGGCTCAGGTCAACGCCCCTCCTCCTGCTCATGGAGTCCACGCAGTGTCATCTGCGTGCCCTGCTGCTGACAGCCCCCACCACCTCCTGCGCTGGGGAGCGTGTGCGCCGAGGAGTCGCAGCGCCTCTCACTCCACAGCCCACAGGGCAGCAGGGGCCGGCAGGAACGGGCACACAGCCGCTGCCACACCAACCCCACGGGCACGAGGTGGAGGTGCTGACTCAGCGTCAGGTCAGAAAACGACTCCACCGACCCGCCAGGGCTCGGGTCGGGTGGGCTTGTGTCCAGGTCAGGCCTAAAAGTTAGGCCCAAGCAGACTGCTAGGTGGCATCACCTTATTCAACTGTGTTCTCAAAGACAGCCTTATTCACTGGTCAAGGCCCCGATCCTGCAAAACCTTATCATCGACAGTCCCAGCGACTTCAAGGAGACTACTCACATGCATAACTGAAGCACATGTCTAAGTCTCCACAGGTTCAGGACACAGCAGTGTTTACTATTTTTAGTCCTATTTGCTCTAAAAATGTAGAACTACTCGGTGCCATATTTGCAGTCCCTGAGTGTCTTGTGCAGCACTGTGCATTAAACAGATTCGGCCAGGGTTAGCGGAGTAACAGAAAGTGGGCAAATGCAAGCTGGCTGTACTTTACCCAGCATGGTTGTGTGTTATTTATGCTGCAGTAGCACATAGGGCCCCAAACAAGGACCAGGGTCCCCACTGGGCTAGGGGCTGCACAGATTGGTAATGAGAAGACATTCCCTGGCCAGGAGAATTTATAATCTGAAAGCAACACTTTTGGCCAAGGTGGGCTTCAAGACTGAATAAATTTAGCGAGTAACACACACATTGTGGCTTCGTAACAAGATTCTAGACGGCCTGCTGGAGTGTCAAAGAGAGATCATGACAGCTACCAATTTAAAATCCTGTGAAACCCACTCTCGTTTTTCAAGGAGCAGAAGAGGAGAAATTTCTCTCTGTTCTAGCCAGATGGAAGGTGTAATTTACCTCATTAGGATTCTGCATCATTAGTCAGCAATCAAACGCATGATATATTTTCACTGAGCCCCTCAAAAGAAGTTGGTTCTTAGTCACATTTATCCACGTGCATGTGCTACAGACAAGTGTGTCACCTGGCTATCTTACGAGCCACATATCTAGATTCTTTGTAAGGCATCCTAAATGTATTTTAGTAAATGCAGAAATATTTAGGGGAGCTAAAATGAACGGTCTGCCCCATGTCCCTTACTGGATGCACAGTATAGTCTATGGATGTTAAAAAATTAAGCAGCACTGGTTGACTTATCTCTTTAGCTCTGCTCCTTGAGTATTTGAGCAAACTGCAGCCTCCAGATTAATTAAGTTGTAAAATTAACCCTTCAACAGGTCAGGTGTTCTGCTTTCTTAAAAGCTAGCTTTGGTAGCTCTCCCTGATTAAAGGAAGAGCAAAACAGAGTCAAGTTCTTCAAATAATGCAGACAACTCACTGGGTGAGATGTTGCACAAGGAAGAATTTAGTTCATTGCCCAGACTGAGTCCTAAGGGAACACGATCACGAGCTTTACGAATCGCTGCGTTTTCATGGGCTGTGGCATGGACCCTAAGGCATCGGCAGCTCTTTCATTAAAATTCTTTAAAGACTTCAAACTTATACCACAACTCATCACATAAAGATGGATTAACCAAGATACCATGCACATTGCAATAATTGGTGACAGGAAGGGTTAAGCCTGAGTTCTCTGGATAAGGAGATAAAGTAACAGTTACACTGCAGGTTACTATGAGTCTCCCTTTAAACTGACTTCTCAATTAAACTTACAAATAGTTTGACTTGATATAATGTGATCTACAGTACACATGAAATCCTTAGCTGGTCACCCAGTTACCGCCTTTCCTGTTCTTGGCCCCCTGCAAGAGCTACTCCTGAATTGATCACAAAGACACTCACATTGCATGGATATCTATTCACTGCTTCACTAATGCAGCTGTTCTGATGCTGTGCACAGATTTTGCAGTGCCCAGCTGCTCTTAAGCACTCGGACACCCTGGCAATCATAAAAGCAGACCTTGTCATTCCAGTTTACAGATTTACTACTGTGGTCAGAACATAGCAGAAGACCAGGCATCCAGCACACGCAAACTGGCTTGCAGCCTGTCATTGCCAAAACACACTTGCCCTAAAAATCCCCACGGGAATTTAGATCCATTGCAGGACACGAACATTTCTAATAGAATGTCAATTACTCCAGTGTGAATGGCAGAGATATTACAAAGCAAACACTGAGCAATGTCAGCTAGCTGCATGTCAGCTGTGGTTATTTTCTAAGAAACATTTGCTTTCAGCTTGGAGAATGCCACTGGTGACTATGGAAATGGTTCAGAACACTGGACGCAGAGTTCTGACTGACAGGTAGTGGCCTAGCCACACTGCTCCTGCCAATGGAGGCATGAGTCCCATGTGCATACATTCCATTTCACAAGAGCAGCAAGACAAGCAGTGCATTTCAAGTCACTTGCATGTTTCCAGCAGTTAAGAGTTCCTGTGGCTTTGTGCCACAAGAAATCTGCTAGAAACACCCAGAAATACAGTTGTGATTGATCTTTAGTAGTTGCAGTGATTGAAGAAAAGCAGGTCTGAAGGTGGTAAACAGCTATTAAGAACAACAGGCACAAGACATGCAGGGGCCTGGCAGGCATTTCATTCTATATTTAAAACTCAGAAGTCGATGACCAGTGACAAAGGGAGATTGGAATGAAATTACTGCTAGTTTTTCCCTACACAAATTCACAGCATAAAATGGAGACTAATAATTCACACCTACAACATGCCATTCATCCCCAAGAACTGCAAAGTACTTTATACATTTATATCCATAGACACAGATTAACTTTACCCACTACCGAGATGCCGGTACCACACGCAGACCAACGCGTTTCCTATGGGCTCCGTATTAGCTTATATCAAGAAATGATCAATACTGCATTCAACTGAAGCTGCAGAGGAATTTAGGAGGCAGGAGGTAACTGCCTATGTTAGCTCAGCACTTGTCAAGAATATAAGACAGTCTGAAGTTGACCACAGCTGCATTGCAGGTCATTAGAAAAAACCCCATTGAAAGAGATTGGCCGCACAGCTGCCCTGTCCGAAACTGGGTCAAAGATGACCACGGGTACCTTGGCAGATCAAAACATGGTTGACAGATGGTTGGGTCTGTGATGAGAGTGTGATTAATGATGGTTGCCAGTGACCACTCGTTGTGCCAAGCAGATTCCACCATCATGTTGTGTTGTGGCATAAGTGACCATAAAGGGCATCTAGAA